AAACCCACTTGTTTCAAGGAATGGCCTCGAAAGTCTATCTCTTTTGATAGAAGAATTTTGATTAAATTTTTCTAAACCAGAAAATGGGCATCAGGGTTGGAGACTTTTTGGGTTTAGTTAATTTCTCTACCCAGCAGTTTCCAGAGCAGAATTTATTGGATCCCTAGCTGGCAGCGATAGTTTTTTTTTGGTCATAAAATGGTGATAATGTGAGCTTCCGCTTGTATAAAACAACCAAAATCCCAGTGGAAATGCATGTTTCTGCCACCCTGCCAGAGTTTCTAGAAAATCGTCTAGGATTTTGCCACTTTGTAGCCATTTTCCTTGACGATGACGAGTATGTGGAAGAAACGACGTTTGCAGTAAAGAACACACTGAAAATTCTCAGGGCCAAAACCACGTATCAAGTGACTGAGCACATCATCAAATTGAGCAAAGAAAGCTCCTTTGAAGCTGGACAATTCGGTAACAAATTTTCCCCAACAGTGAAGAGAGCATTGCTTTTAACATTTGATCTTCATGCTCCAGTGTGCGACCTGATTCGCAATGGAGTGAGTGCAATATTCGGTCCAGAATCGCCAGAAAACAACGAAATCATCCAGTCAGTAGCTGCAAGCTTGCAAATCCCGTACTTCCAGAATAGTTGGAATCCTCAAGAAGAAGCAGCCACATCGGTGTTCAACTTGCGTCCGAACTCGGACGCTTTGTCCCGCGCTTTGGCCGCCCTCGTCCGGGAAAACGACTGGAAAACCTACACAGTCATGTACGAAAACGAGGACAGTCTTTTGAGGCTCCGAGAGACACTCAAACAGAGGAAACCGAACGATTTGTCCATAGCCTTTATCTGTTTAGGATCTGGGCCGGATTATCGGTGAGATTTTCAATATTTTTTTGGGAATTTGCTCAGTTTTTTCTTAACCAGAATAAACGATTTGCGTTTGAGGGAAGGCGAAATTATCCCATTTCAGGGGAATCAGTTACAGTTTCCATTTTGCAACTGTCTGCTAGACTTGAATTATAAAGACAGCGCGGTGAAAAATCGATGTTTCAAGGAAGACGAATGCTTCTCAAACTGAAAGCCTTTGGGAGGTTTAGTAAGCACATTTGGAGCAATTTTCCTCAATAACTCAAACGGATTTCTTCAGCAATTTTTCTATCCTGATTTTATCATCATTTAGAATTTAGTTTTAGCACCAGAAATTTGTTTTCACTGTTACCAGCTGAGGGCTTAAGGGCCTTTTCCTGCCGGTATCTTTTGTGCGTGTTTTGATCAACCTTTAATCGATTTTTCAATTGCGAGTGATTTTGGTCTGGTTTTTTATTGCTGCGGCTTTCTAAACAAAAAATATTAACTGAAACACTGTTAACACACTTTTTCATTTGCTTGCAGGACGGTGTTGAAACAAATCAAAAAAACCTTAGATACGAGGTTCATATTGGACTGTAAGGCTGATCGTATATTAGACATTTTCCGGCAAGCCAAAGAAGTGGGGCTCCTCAAGGATTACCACAGCTATATTTTAACAGATTTGGTAAGTCTTAAAAATCAATTTTCAATTAATGAGCACAATTTTTTGATGTTGTCTTCTTTGCTGCCTTTTCTAGGATGCGCATTCTTTAGACTGGTCAGAGTTCAATGAAGTGGTTTCAAACATATCCAGCATCCGACTTATGGATCATGAGAGTGACGCTGCAAAGAATATAGGAAAACTTTGGAGAATCGATCCGAAACGCATTAAGGTAAGTCGGGCCCAGTATTAAATTTAAGACAAAATCCAATCATTGTACATACTTTCCTGACTGTGTTTCAGTCATTTATTGTCTATTTATCAATTAAAATACGTTTCGGTGTTTTCCACCATCATCAGTTTGTCTGAAATAACAGATAGTAAAAAAATGTTTTCATTAATTTAAAAAACAATCACAGTTCGTCAACAGCTTCATCATATCACACACTAATATACATCACAATTGCAACACTTTAAAACATTCTAAGATTAATTAGGCGTGATTAGTCAGGACAATCAGAAATAAATTGTGGAACATCTTAACAAATTTCAAAGGTCAAACAAAACACAAATAAAAGTATGGCATGTCATGTTAATGGACTGATAAATGAAACAAACATTTGCATACTAACAGCAGATAAATGTAACAAAACTGTAATTATGTTAAAAAGTGAATACAAAACGAAATGCTAGGCTTAATAAATGATATAAAAACATATAAACCGGAAAAAAAAGATCTTACTACCAATATACAAACAAAACTGAATAAAATAATAAATTTATGGCATCAAAAGAAATTCATAATCGATAATTTGAAACGAACACCAGCTTGCAACAATGGCCGAGCACCATTTATATATGGCCTACCAAAACTTTATAAGGAAAACATTCCATTACGACCGATAGTTAGTAACATAAATGCTCCAACGTACCAATTATCTAAATATCTGTCAGCAGTTTTGAGTAATGTATT